ATGAAAGCTATAAACACTGACAAGCAGGTAAGTACAGCTCTTTTGCTCAAAACACTATCAACATTCATTCATTCATTTACTTAGGGCAAATAAACTTTCCTTGGCACTCTCTTCATAATTTGAAAGAACTTTTTAAACATCTTATAGAGTTTATCAACAGCTATGCTGGTTTCTCCTAACAAAATTCCACCTGTAGCAGCATGACTGCAAATTTTCTTCATGATTCAAGTCCAGGCTTACAAAATTACAGCACTCTGAATTCAGAAAGTGTGTGTGAAAGAGAGTGTGAGCAAGTTTAACATAATCTTTCATATTTCATTATGGTTATAGTACCTTGATAAGACTCATTATTTTCCAACATTAACCCAAGCTAGTGACAAACCGAACAGCAGAAATGACAATTTCAACAACAATCTGTAGGATTTTTCAGAGCAAAAATGTGCTTTGATGCCTTGAAGAAAAGACACTGTTTCTCTCTTAATAATGCAGACTAACTAAAAAGCAGCTTTTCCATTGCTACAATTCAGATCTCAAATATTTTATTCATAGGCCCTAAATTAGATAGAGTCTAGCTAGTTTATTTGGCACAAAATTCAAGTTCCTCACTGAAAACCCTCTTTTTGAGACTGTGTAAGGCCGGGCCCTAGATAAACAAGGTAGATAGCATAAACAACAGATTTTTGGTTCTGTGAAAAGGCAGAAAACTTTTAGTTATTTAAATCACCATCATAATCAAAGTTGCCGTTATTCCCAAGAAGAGATGCTTGTGAGATCTTCTGCCAAATCTTGATAGTTTCTTTGCCACTTACTGATTCTCTACAAGTAATAAAATATCTTGAACTGGCCTTGAGACAATGCATTGGAACATACAGACAGTCCCCTTCTTACAAACAGGTTATGTTCCAAAAGGCTGTTCGTAAGTCCATTTTGTTCATAAGTCCAACCAAGTAAAAAGTAAAAAGTAAAAAAAAAAAAGAGGAGGAGGCAGGAGGCAGGGCAGCAGCATGGGAAGAGGAGTCCTATCTTCTGCTGCCAATGCATTGTCAGATGAGGCAAGGGAGGGGGTGGTAGCAGAGAAGAGGGGAGAGGGGGAGGAGGCACACCGCAAACCAACCCTTTCCTGCCTTTTCATGCCTTCCAGGAGGTTGGAGGTTTGCATTAGAGTTGGCGCTCCCAGAAAGGGTTAGTTTATGCGACGTGCTCTGTTGCCAGGTGAGACAGGAGAGGCGGCGGTGGCTCCTTGGGTGAAGGATGAGCCAGTGAAGCGCGGCATGCTTTGCTACCAGGTGAGGCAGGAGACCTCTGCCCCCTCTCCCCTGTCCTCTACCACCACCCCCTCTCCTGCCTCACCTGGCAACGGAGCACACAGCATAAACTAACCCTTTCTGGGAACTTCAATTCCAATGCAAACAAAAGGCAGGAGAAGGCAGGAAAGGGAGCACGCTGCAAACTAACCCTTTCCCACCTTCTCCTGACTTCTGATTCTGACTTTCAACCTGACTTCTGGTTCTGACTTCTGGGTCCATCTTGTTCATATTAGTGAAAGTTTGCAACACGAAAGTTCGCAAGTAGGGGACTGTCTGTATACAGACTAATTCAGGGCTTGCCAATTATATATTTCTTAGAGTATTTGACATTATCTTTATTGGCACACAGAACACAATAGTATAAATGTTTATTATTGTGATAGTATAAAGTGAAATTAGACATCCCTGCACTATAATGTGCATATGTCATCTTTGTTATATTGACTACTAAGATAACAATAAGCCTTTTGGAGATTTTGGGTCTTGCCTAGAACTTACACATAATGTATATAGTAGAAAGATTTCACAACGAAGTACTAATAAATCATTCTAGGCATATATATTTATATGCCCTATTTTTACACAATACTTAATCAACTATTTAAGTTACACTAAAAGGTTAAAATTTCTGTTGCGTAATAGTTGTAAAACTCTTATAAAAAACCCAAAATGTAGATTAACAATAATATCCCCAATTCTGCTCTTTAGCCAGCAGGACTTTCTTTTATCAAACTGGTAAGTTTAATTATGATGCAAGTAATATTTGCTAAGTTACTTTGCTCACCTATTCTGGTGACTTTCAGTTTTCTATATTTTGTATAGGAAAAAAATATCTATGCTTCAGTCAGTCCAGCTCCCTGCCCGCCGGCTTCCATATATGAATATGACATGGAAAATGACTTAAGCTGCTATTTCAATCACCAAATCCCCACTGATAAACATTTCATGCAATTCCCCCCCCCCGTCTGTCTCTCATACACACACACATGCACAAATACACAATCTCTCCAATTGCAGGACCTCCATAGGCAAATATCTGTAGTTTTAGATGACAAATATCATAATCCCTCGACTCTGTCCATGTTTGCTGGGGGTGATGGAAACTGAACCCTAAAACATCAAAGGAACACTAGATTTCACACCCATGCAGAACTACGCATGGATGAAATCAATCTCATTTTTACAGAAGATGAATCCAAACCCTTTCAAGGGGTGGGGGGGGCATCAAACAGAGTATTTCTGGAGTACTTGAATTATGAGGAGAAAACAGCAGAGCAGAGCTATTGAAATTTATAGTTTTCATCCTCTAGTCCCATCCTATTTTAGATAAACCATCCTCTGCTATAGTCTTCTAAATCTTTGGCTAAGGATGCAAGCCCCTCTCTTCTGTTCTATTATTCAAGACCTGGCTATTCTTAAAGCCTCTAAATATTCTCATAAACATAAAATAAACTCATAAAATGCTCTGTGTTCTTGAATCCATCATTAATATTCAGACTTTTCCCCCCAGATTGCATATTTCTGAGAATAGCCCATGAAAATGCAGTTATAAAGTGAAGTTATATTAATTTCCTTTTGAAGATAACAATAATAATAACAACAATAATAACATCAACATGTAGTTGAAAACAAGCTCTTTCCATCTGAGCAGAAAGGAAACTGCCCAAACAGCAGAGGAACAAAAGATCAGCTCCTAATTGACAA